CCGATGACGTAGGCGAACGCCCGGGGCAAGTAAACGTTGATAGCCAACATCAAGTGGAAGATCAAGCGAGCCACTATGAACAAGATGCAAGATACGCTTACACACGGAACTTCAAATGCGATCAAACGGCCAATCGCGGCAAGAAACCCTGGAAATGCTTCATGCGCATTCTTATGGCCAGACCACATTATGGCTGAAAAGCCTAGGAGCTCATCTTTCCGTTGGCGAGGATTTGTATCGTCGAACTGCCCTGGAGAACATACCCATGCTGTGTAGTAGAAAACAAAATGGAATGACAATACTGCGAGGAGCCAGATTACATCTACCGAACTCCAAACGCTCCGTTTATCCTCCCAATCGCCTCCTCCGCCTCCTCCTGTTCCTCCTCCTCCTCCTCGTCCCCACCGTCCCCACCTCCTCCACCTCCACCTCCTCTTCTGTTTACTATGTTTCGTCTCCTTCTTCATAATATTATTCTTATTACTAACATTCGTATTATCATTACTCGTATTCGTCGCCCCCTGATTATTATTATCATTATTTTTCGCATCATTGATATTATTGGTAGTACTCGTATACATATCCTGATGATTAGTATTCCTAATGTTGTTAGTTTTATCATTGTCATTCGTATTTATGTAGTGGTTTACTTGTTATACCTTGCTGTATTAGTAGTAACAGTGTGCTTAGTCTTAGTACTAGTCGAAGACTTCTGTGCGTTAATATTGTTATCAGTAGGGAAAGTATTGTTAATGTTCTGTACTACTATTAAAGTAGCTAGTAGTTGGCACTATCAAAAATATGATTCACATTGCTCGTGTTAGCATTGCTTGTAGTATTGCTTGTAGCCGTACCATTGTCAATGATGTACTCATTATTATCAATAATACTAACAGTGTCCATGTTCTTACTTTACCTACTATTCAAAATAGTATGTTTAGTTTTAGTAGTATTAGTATTAGTTTGATAAGTGATACAATGACGAATACTTATAATATTACTGATACTAATACTAAGACTGATACGATCACGAGTAATATTACTCTTACGATTAATATTACTAAAACTAGCACTGATACTATTTCGATTGCCAATACGATTGCTAGTGCGACTACGATCACTAATACTAGTACTGTTACGATCACGATTACGATACATGTTGCTATTGCTCTTACTGATACTGCTACTAGTACGATTACTATTACGATTAGGTTTACTATTACTGTTATTATTACGCGTACGATTACGACTGCGATTGCTAATGCTAATACTGTTATGATTACTGGTACGGCTACTATCACTGTTACTATGCTTAATATTGATATCACTATTACTATTACCAATACGATTACTGATGTTATTACGATTACGATTACTAATCCTACTACTAGTACCATTAACAATACTATTAATAGTACCACTACTACGATTAAGATTACTATTACGATTACCATTACTACTACTACTACTACTACTACTACTACTACTACTACTACTACTACTACTACTACTACTACTACTACTACTACTACTACTACCATTACTAGTACTATTACTAGTACGTTTACGAATACTAGTATTATTCGTATTAGGAACATCGCGCGAGCTTCGCGCGCGCTCCAGTTCTAGCCCAGGCCGGGGGGGCGCTGGGAGATCTTGGACAGCGCTATCAAGCACAGGCGCGTAACATAGTCGTGCCTGCTGAGGTCCTGAGGGACCCTTGGGGACCTCTTTGGTCTTCGTGGGGGCATCTGAAGGGCTTCTGGGAGGTTCTCCGTGCTTCCTCAATTTGCTGTTGGAGGCACCTTTTGGGTGCTTCTTGGGGCGGCGTCTCGGGGCTTCTTGGGGTCCCTTGGGAGCATCGTCAGGGTTCTCCGGGCAGTCGGAAGGTGATGTTCTGTAATCTGAAGCCGTCATTGGCCGTCTTGGCTGCGTGGAGGCCTGACTTGAGGGCGCCTGGTGCCACACTCAGGCAATCCGGAAGCCTCTGGGGACCTCCTGCAGACAGGTTTGATGCATCGAGGGCACTGTTGGGCAATCTGGGGGCCCCTGGTACGTGTCCTTGGGGCCTTTTGGGGCCACTTGGGAGGCTTATGGGGGCCTCGTCGGCCACTTGGGGACTCTTGGGGCCTTCTTTGGGCCTCTTGGGGCGGAAGACTCTGACGTTGGGATCGCGTTCCCATTCTTGGGCATCTCTTGGGACCGTCTTGGGGCCCTCTCGGGCCGTCTTGGGCGCCTCAGGCACCGTCTTGGGGCCTCGTGGGCCGTCTCGGGGCCCTCTTCGAGGCCTCTTCGGCTGTCGTGGAGCAGTCTTGGGGGCCTCTTGGGCCGTCTTGGAGCGTCGGGATGCCAAAAGGCTGAAACGCTGAAATGCACCAAAAACCAAAAAGAAAAATCAGTGATTCGGGCTTCTTGGGGCCCTTTTGGGAGTGCGGTCTATCTGGAGGCCATCTTGGGCCAGTTAGAACGATAACTCCGCGATAGTAGGCCTCCCAGTGGCCTCTCGCACAGTAGGCCTCCTGGAGGCCTCTCGCGGCCCTTTTCATCCGTGTTGGGGATGTCTTGGGCGGTCTGGAAGCGTCCCTGGCGCCCCGACATCCCCATGGCGCGTCGGGGGCCCCCCGGCTCGGTCCAGGTATATATACCTATACGACCACCCTTCGGGTGATAAGGAGGTTCGGGGGGGAACCAACGTCTCACTCGATCGGTCTCACTATCGATCTCAGTATCGATCTCAGTATCGGTCTCGCTCGATCGATCTCACTCGATCGATCTCACAATCGATCTCACTCGATCTATCTCATTCGATCGATCTCACAATTGATCTCACAATCGATCTCACAATCGATCACACAATCGATCTCACATTCGGTCTCAATATCGATCTCACTATCGATATCACAATCGCTCTCACAATCAACGTCATCATCATCATCATCATCATCATCATCATCAACATCATCAACATCAACCTCATCACCAACATCGTCATCATCATGAGGGCACCGTCATCATCATCATCATCATCATCATCATCATCATCATCATCATCATCATCATCATCATCATCATCATCATCATTTTCATAAACATCATCATCATCATCATCATCATCATCAACGTCAGTATCATCATCGGGACAACATCATCATCATCATCACCATCATCATCTCATCATCAACATCATCATCATCGTCATCATCATCATCGGGACACAATCATCGTCATCATCATCAGCAGCATCATCAGAATCATCATCATAATCGGGACACCATCATGATCACCATCGTTCTCATCATCAACATTATCATCAACATCGTCATCATCCTCGGGACACCATCATCATGATCATCGCATCATCATCATCGGCATCATCATCAACAACATCATCATCATTGGGGCACCACCATCATCATGAGCAACATCATCATCAACATCATCATTATCATTATTATCATCATCGGGACACCATCAGCATCACCATCATCATCACCATCATCATCATCAACATCATCATCGGGACACCATAATCATCATCAACATCATCATCAGCATCATTATTATTATCGCCAGGACACCATTTCCATCAACATCATCATCACCAACATCATCGGAATCATCATCATCATCATCAGCATCATCAGCATCATCATCGGGACACCATCATCGTCATCATCATCAACATAATCATCATGAGCATCAAAATCCTCATCATCGGGACACTATCATCATCATCGACACCATCATCAATATCATCATCATCATCTTCATCGGGACACCATCATCACCATCCCATCGTCATCATCATCATCATCATCATCATCATCATCATCATCATCATCATCATCTCATCATCATCATCATCATCATCATCATCATCATCATCATCATCATCATCCTCGCGGGAGACCGCGGGACACCGGCGGGACACCGCGGGACGCCGCGGGACACCGCGGGACACCGCGGGACACCAGCGGGACACCGGCGGGACACCGCGGGCCCCCGGCCGCCCGAAGGGAGTCATTTGGTCCGGCCGCGCCTCAGCAAAACGGGACACCAGCGGGACACCGGCGGGACACCGCGGGCCCCCGGCCGCCCGGAAGGGAGTCATTTGGTCCGGCCGCGCCTCAGCCACAGGAGACTTTCTCTCGCCCGCCCACGCAGCTTCGCCTCGCCCGCACGGCACGCACGAACACGAAACCGAAATCGATTTCCTGGTAGGGGGGCTCTCCGTTCCACTTCGATCTCACCCCCCCACCTCCGATATATATATATATATAGATGTATATATATGGCCATATATATACATAAAATGTGTGTGTGGTTGTTGTTGTTGTTGGTGGTGGTGGTGGTGTTGTTGTTGTTGGTGGTGGTGGTGATGGTGGTGTTGTTGTTGGTGTTGTTGTTATTGTTGTTGTTGTTGGTGGTGGTGGTGGTGTTGTTGATGTTGTTGTGTGTGGTGGTTGTATTGCGTTGTGTTGTGCTGTGCTGTGCTGTGCTGTGCTGTGCTGTGCTGTGCTGTGTTGTGTTGTGCTGTGTTGTGTTGTGTTGTGTTGTGTTGTGTTGTGTTGTGTTGTGTTGTGTTGTGTTGTGTTGTGTTGTGTTGTGTTGTGTTGTGTTGTGTTGTGTTGTGTTGTTCGTGCGTGTGCGTGTGCGTGTGTGAAATTATAGGTATATACACGTATACATGTGCATATGTCTGTGTGTGTGTCGCCGGGGGCCTCTTAGAAAGAGTTTGAAGCTTTTGGGGTGCCGTCTTGGGACCTCTTGGAGCCTCTTTGGGGCTTCTTGGGGGGCTCTTGGGGCCTCTTGGGGGCTTCCTGGGGGCCTCTTGGCGCCTCGTGGGGGCATCTTGGGGCGGAGAGCTTGATGTTTCAGTTCGCGTTCCCTCTCTTGGGCCCCTCTTGGTGCCCTCTTGGGACCCTCTTGCGCCGTCTTGGGCGGCTATGGGGCCGTCTCGGGGCTATCTTGGGCCACCTTGGGGCCCCCTTGGGGGCCTC